TAATTCCCCCCAGTATCTTTCAACTGGAGGGCCAGGTACCTGGATACACCACCTAATAAAACTCAGGATTATCAATCAATATGGGAGATCCGAGAACCAGGAGAGATTCACCCAAATTCATCTGAACTCCCCGAGGAGGGTATGAGCACATAGGGCCACTGCTGGTACCAAGGCTCCGGTTCCTCGGAGAGTTCAGCTGGAGAGAAGTCTGCAGTGGGTCCCTTCATGGTGTCCAAAACTGTTGACTGAAATACATGTGCAGCCTAAAAGTTAAGAGTTATGTTTTATTTGGCGGGAGGACTCGAGCCGGGATGACAGCCTCTCAGATTGCTCTGAGGGACTGCTCTGAAGAGTTTGGGGTGGAGCTAGTATATATAGGAGCTTTACAACAAAGACCAGGTAGTTGGAACAATAAAAGATTGCTTGTTATCTAAAGAAAGCCAGGTATCTCAAGTTAAAGTATTTAGTGCTTTTCTGTGTACCATTGGGCTGACTAGATTCATTCCTTAGATAAGCACCTAGCTATCTAGGACAATTATCCTGTCTTCTTATTCTCAGTCTGTTCAGAGGGCACCATTGTGAGTGGCTGTAGAGGCTGGGCTTCAGGCCTGTCCTCGCTGTGGGGTGGCGGCAGCCTCTGATGACTTGGTTTCAGCATTCTTTGTTTACTGACATGGTTGTAGTATTTTCATTCACAGACTGATTGTGGATAATCTGGAAACTTGGAAAGGAACCCAGATGGAATTACTGCAGGTCCCTTCTACTTTAATATTCCGTGTGCAAACATAAACACGGATGAAGCAAACATTTGAATTTAGTGGTGTAGGGAAGGGTTTCTGCACATTACAGGAGAATGCAAGGCAGAATTCCACTTCTTTGTTGGCAGGGATGTGGGTCCACCTGTCTTTTCTGTAGCGGTTTCTGAGAGCAGTTTATGGTTATTAACCAACATTGTCAAACGGTGACACACATTGCATTTAAGAGCTGGCCTGTCCAAACTTGTGTATTGGAGAGGTGGATTTCATAGGCAAGTGGTCAGGTGGATTGGAGAGAGGTGTAGCCCAGGCCTGGGCTCAGATACAGGTTTAAATCGCCATTTCTTCACCAAACGGCCTTGGACTACAGTGTAACCTCCCTTAAAACTGTTGGTGAATCTGTGAAATGTGCATTATAATATTAGGTTT